CTTCTATCCCCACCTTATTGTCATGGATTCCTCATTTTGTGATATTAATAGCCTTGTTTCCAAAAAATAGTATCTATGTATATGATATCTACATAAAAGTAAAAATGGCAAAACATTAAAGATGGTTAAATCTTAAAATTAAAAATTAAAAAAGAGATGTTTATTAGATACCCAAATGAGCAGCTGCTTGTTCATACATCCATACCTCTGGGTCTCAGGGATGGATGGGTGTGGAGAGACAAAGCTGAGAGTCATCAGGTTATAAATGATATTGACAGCCTGGCCAACAGACACAGTCAGGCAGGGCCCGAGCAATGAGCATAAAAAGAGACGAGGACCAAAGCAATGGACGCTGACCTACGCCAACATTTAGTGGCTGGGGAGACATGGAGGGGATGGCAGGGAACATGAAGAGACTTCTGGCGACTGGAATGAAAATCAAGAATGCGGAAGCCAGAAACCAAGCAAAGGAAGTGTTTTACAGAGAGGAACAAACCACTAACAAAAGGGGCCTAGGAGGTCAAGATGAAGACTGAACAGTGACCTCTGGGATTGGCAAGGTTGACCTTTTCCCTGGGGAGCTCACAGCACAGCAAGGGTGGAAAAATGAGGAGGCAGGTGCATTGTTGTCCAGTGGCGGAAGATGTGTCCTAGGGAAGTGAAAGACTTCCTGGAGACAGACGGAAGAAGGAGCAGGGACCTCTCCCTGGGGCGTCACGGAAAGCTGTGTGGAGGAAATGTGTTTTTGGATTCTGGTAGGTAGGTGGAGGGAATGAAACCAGGGTGCATAAAACTTACGTTTTTTTCTAGTTGGTTGATGAATTTTCTGCATCCACTCACGCAAAATGAATATTTCCCCTCCCAGGCTAACATCCCACTGGTAGTACTCTGTCGCTCCCCGTCTTCGTGGAGGAACGACACAGGACCCTGCGCTGTTCTTTCGTCTGCTCGGCCCTCCCCGGGTTTGCTGCTGTTCTTCCCGGGTTGGCTACTGTCCCTTCCACCTCCGTGGAAGGGCAGTTCCCCCTGGCCACATTCCCCACTTCCGCAGGGGAGCGGCACACCGCCGGCCGGCTCTCTCGGGGGCTGCACAGGTGTTCCTTCAGATAGATGTTCCTGGTGCATGCCGTCTCTCTCCTCCTTTATAGTCCTCCTCCGCCAATCCCAACTCTGCTACCCACATGCCGAGTACGCTGCTCTCCTCCAATCAGGAGCAGGTCCCACAGTTTATTGGTTGAACTGGAGGCAGCTGTGTAGAAACTGTTTCCCTTCTCAGCGCCATATTGAGGGAAAGCAGATGCATAGAATAAGTCTTAATTCCAGTAACTTAGTCTAGTCCGAGTTGCTCCCAGTTGCTCCCCACAGTACTCCATGAGGATACACTAGTATTTGCCAGTTATTAACACTCCTGCTATCTATTTTATAAGGAAAAAATATATAAGCTGATTCTTAGGGAGGAAACTCTCAGAATTCTATTTTTCCTTGTTGTAGTCTTGATCTTTTAATTGCATTTGAATGCGTTCCCTTAGCTTATGCAATATAGAGATCTTATTCCTCATACTAATAGCCACCATGTACCCAACACTTATCACATGTGGAGCACTGTTCCTTTTGTTCTCACAAACAATTCTGATACCCTCATCGGCCCCGTTTTTCCTTTGCGATAACCAAGACAGAGAGAGGTTAAGTGACTTGCTCATGGTGGCAAAGTGAATAGCAGAGGCGGTGTTAGAACTGTGCCCTTTGGCTACAGAGCTGACCATCTTCAGCAGACTGTTATACTTCCATCCTTACTAGTCCATCTCTGCTTTCCCAGGATGGGACGTTATTAGTGAAAAAAATCCTAGCGCTCTTGAAATTCCAAGTTTTCTAAAGACTCAATAACTCAATTGCAGGTTGTCATTGTTGAGTGGGTCAGTAGGGTAGAAGAAGCCATTTAGTTCTGTTATAGTTGATTGTAATTCTCACATGACTGTCTAAGGATTGAGTTCCACCGGGTCATGTATGAGGGTGGTGGGGAAAATGATCTCGAGGCTTTGCTGGTGGAAGTGACCTCCCCATTACAACCCTAGAGGTATGTGTATTTGCTTCCTTTTAGAAGAACTTTGGAAAGTTATTTTTTTTTTTTTTGACACGCAGAGTGGACAGTGAGAGAGAGAAAGGTCTTCCTTTTCTGTTTGTTCACCCTCCAATGGCCGCTGCAGCCGGTGTGTTGCGGCCGGTGCACCATGCTGATCCAAAGCCAGGAGCCAGATGCCTCTCCTGGTCTCCCATGCAGGTACAGGGCCCAAGCACTTGGGCCATCCTCCACTGCACTCCCTGGCCACAGCAGAGAGCTGGACTGGAAGGGGAGCAACTGGGACAGAATCTGGTGCCCTGACCAGGACTAGAACCCGGTGTGCTGGCACCGCAGGCGGAGGATTAGCCTATTGAGCCACAGCACTGGCCGAAAAGCTATTTTTAAAAATGTATTTGATCTGAGAGAGAGAGAGAGAGAGAGAGAGAGAATCTTCTATCCACTGTTTCACTTCCCAAGTGGTTGTAACAGCTGGGGCTGGGCCAGGCCAAAGCCAGGAGTCAGGAACTTCTTCCGGGTCTCCCATGTGGATGCAGGGGCCCAAGCACTTGGGCCATCTTCCACTCTTCTCCCAGGCGCATTAGCAGAGAGTGGGATTGGAAGTGGGGCAGCCAGGACTCGAACTGGCGCCCATATAGAATGCAGTGCAGCAGACAGTGGCTTAACTAGCTGCAGCACAGCACCGGCACCATGATAATGCACTTAAAGAGGAATAAAGTGTAAATCAAAGCAACCGTGTTTAAGAATGCCTACTACGTGCTAAGTGCCATTCTGAATAGGTGGGGAGCTAAAACAATACAGTAAGGGTGAGTGTGCGGCTTAGTGATTTAGACACTGGCTGGGACAACTTGGGTTTGAGCCCTGACTCTCACTGCTGATGACAGTATCCTGCTGGGCTCCTGCCACCCACATGGGAGACCTGAACTGACTTCCCAGCTCCCAGTTCCAGCCAAGCATAGCCCTCTCCGACCACCTGTCTTAAATAAATATAATAAATAAATAATAATAAATATGCTAATACGTAGCCAACACCTTCAAGGGTCCCTGATGCTCAAACCATAGCTAGTATGTGCCTGACTGAAACATCAATTTGATTGTAGTGGAATCTTGCTGTGGCTCAGCCTTTGTATGTTCCCTGATTGTGCTTTTACAGGCTAATTCTATCTCTAAAGATTTTTTTCTTTTTCTTTCTGATAGCATGCTGTGACCGCTTCACTCGATAGATGAAGAGATTTATACGTGATTTTCATAAGCCTCTGAAGCCTCCCCTCTTAGCACATGTTGGGTTCTACCTTTGATCTAGAAGTTTTTGAAGGGAGATACTAGCCAATTCTCTTTTGCTTGCAGAAAGAAGGGGTGGAATAATAACTTTCGCTAAGATGTTAGCACGGATCCACAGATTTTATAATTAGTTTTTTTTCTGAAGATGAAAGTGTACGCGCGCGCGCTCTCTCTTTTCTGCTCTCATTAAAATGTTCTTTTCTGGGCATAGTCATATTTTCAGAAAAGCTTAAGGGGGCCAGCATTAACATTGACTCTCAATGTCTACAAAGAGAGAGAAACCCTCTGCGAGGTGGATACTCCACATCCTCTGTCGCTTTGTCTGTCACAAGTCACACATAAGCAGGAGGAAGGGGACTTGGGAAATGTCCAGTTCCAGAGAGGAAGCTACTTCCTATTGTAGGATGGCTTCAAATGGCCACGGAGCAAAGACAGGATGCACGTCGCCTTCCCGTAGCTGATCCTGACCCAAAACCAAATTGAAAGAACAGGAATTTTTCTCTTACAAACTCTCAAACCTCTGATAAGTCACAGTACCAATCGCCATGTCCCAACAAACAGTTATAAAGTGAGTTACTGCAAACTTCAAGACTTTCATGAATTTGCATATGAGAAACCTACTAATATTTGTTCTAGAAATTAAGAGAAAAAGCGAGAGTCAAAATGGGAAATTTTAGATAATGCTACCTCACAGACAAGTACACCTACAAACTTGAGAACACTCAAAAAAGAAAAAAATCCGCTGGCAGAATAGTGACTACAGGGTTGTCACCGTCACACTTTAAAACATTGCATGCTCGATTTTGTCTTTTGGGGACAGGTTTTAAAGTAATTCAGGCTTCGGTTGCATTTGTACTTTAAAAAATATGAATTAAAACAATTTTTTAATGCAAGCTATACGTTGCTTAATAGTTATTTACAAGCTTTCAACACGCCCTGCCTTCCCTGCCCTGTTCTCGGTCCCCAGCAAGATGAAAGTATAGTCTTAGGGCACCAAGTGTTTTAGGAGAAATGAGGGTCTTATTTATTAGTCTTTGCATTTCCAGATCTGAGATGAGAACTGGCAGGAACCTTGCTTTGACCAGTTGTGTGTGAGTGGTGATTTTTTTTTCCCGAAGAAAAGAATCGTGAATGCAATCACGCCACATTTGAGAAAGTTGACAGGAAGCAGTGACTCTCCAAGCAGATGTTGAATAAAACGCCCAATCCAGGGGGCAGTTTGAGTATGTCCCAGTGTCACCCATCTGCTCCACGAGTGGAGAAACTGTTCAGATACAGCGCCACAAGCAAACTGGTCTCCCAACGGTCCTGCAGAGGTTTTGTTCAAATGAGGGCGCTCCAAAATGTTCATGAGACAGAAGACAACGTTTATTTCGGTGCAAAAGTTTTTGAAATCCTTTCCCGCAGATTGTGCGCACCGCACCTACGCCTGGGTTCCAACATTTTGCACCGCCATAAAAGTGTCTTTCCATGCCCTGCCCACCTCCTTTGGGAAGCATCCTCACACGTTGTGCGTGAGGCTCAGCCACCGGATGACGCGCAGGCCCGCACCCAGCGCTGCCGCGAGACCCAAGCCGGGTCCTTGCGCGCCTGGGGTCTCCGCTCCCCCCCACCCCCGCCGGCGCACCCCGGCTCTCCCTACCTGCATAGTGGTCGAACACGGTGGGCACGTATTCCTCGGGGAAGGCGTCGTTGGCGTAGCTCATGAGCAAGCAGGTCTTCCCCACCGCGCCGTCGCCGACCACCACACACTTGAGCATCTTCTTCTCGGCGTGGTCCGCACAGCCGCAGCTGCTGTCAGTCCCCTCGGTGCAGTTCATGCTCGCGGCCGCGGCGGCTGGGACTCCCGCTGGCTGCTGCTCCCGCCGCTTGTCCCGCAGAGCCGGTGCCAGGCTGGACGGAGTTCACTCTGCCTCGCTTGGGGTCCCTTGGAGCATCCGGACACGTCGGAGGCTGGCGTGCGCCCCGTCGCTCGCCATCGCGGTCCCGAACAGCGACAGGCACTCGCAGCGGGGTGGGGTGTGGAAGGGAGGAGGGTTGTGAGAAGGGTCCGATCCTCTCCCTTCTCCGTTTAAGCAATCTTCATCTCCAGAGTCCTGGAGGCTTCGCTGGCAGTCTAGAAATTTCAGCGGCTTGCGGCTTCCCGCTCTGCTCTGCCCGTCTGCAGCCCGGCTGGGATTCGGCTAAATCGTCCCCATTTTTTTTTTCCCACTTCACAGCTAACATGGAGGAAAGCTGGGCTTTTTAATGGAGTTTTTCCACCCCCCTCCCTTGCTTCCTCCAGCTTGCCGAAGCTCAGGAAATCATGGGTTTCCTGCTGCATTCCATATTAGGATCAGTGGGCTGGGAGGGCTGCAACAATGGGAGCTCTGTGTGTGTGTTTGTACTTGTGGGGAACGATGCCAGGACACGGAGTGGGAAAGCACTAGGGGTCCCGCTGCCGGCTCAGGCTCTCAGACTTCCTGTTGCATCGCTGCTAGGCAGCCTGCTTGCTCCTGGCTGGCTGGGAAAGGCTGGGGGCCGGCGAGTCCCGGCTGCCCCAGGAGCGAGAGGGAACGGCTGGAGCGAGCGCGCAGAACCGCACCAGCAGTTGTAGCATAACATATGACATCATCGCTCCCTGAGTCACCGGTGGAGGGCTCTGAGAATTAAACACGGCCGTTTCTTGGCTGGCTTCAGTGAGCACCCTCGCCACGCTTCGCTGCAATAAAGAAGCAACCCTTTTTTTTTTTTTTTTTGGTAGGTCGCAGGTGTAACGCGAGAGTACTTCAACAAGTTCGTGGAATGCGGACTCGAAAGACAAGTTTATTTTGCTGCAAAACCTTTAGAAATCCGTACACACGAGGGCTCTTTACAAAATTGCTAGAAAAATGTACACTATGCGAAAATTTACGTGTGGATTGCTACGTTTTCTGTCCCCAAATTAAACATCTCTTTGGATTCCCTTTTCCATGAACATTTCAAGGTACACGTGTGTGTGTGTGTGTGTGTGTGTGTGTGAGAGAGAGAGAGAGAGAGAGAGATCAGGCTTACAAACTGCTCTATTTGAGTATAGCACCCAGATATGTATTCCAGACACAAACATTTCTTACGGCTGTAGCACATAAATCAGACGTGGGAAGTCTGTATTTTCTTTTGAGGAAATAAACACACATGTGCTTGGATTCTGCGTAACACCCTCGGACAGGAGAGAGTGAAGACATGTTTTTGGTTCGTCTAGGGTTCCTCAGGCTGATACTGCCTAGACATTTCCCTTTTTGATTTAGTCCTGTCCCCGTGGGCCAGCCTGGCCCTCTTTTATTACAAAGGAGCCCTTGGAAGTGAATTTATTTGTTGGTTGGGTCACTCTAAATGAAGCCCCTTTGAAGCTCAGTGTTTGATGAATGTATTTGGTCTTGGAAAAGAAGTAGAACTCTGCAAATCATTTTGATAAATGAGCCAAAACAGCGGAACTCTTTCTTTGAGACTTTTGAACACTGATGTTGTAGGATTCAAAAATTACCCAATCATTTTTGAGATTTTCTTTTTTTGATGAGGTTTTTTTTTTTTTTTTTTTTTTTTTTATTGGGGAGCTGGGAGAGAAATCTTTTAGTTGGTAGCTATCAATAATGTAAGGGAGGGTGCAATAGGTAAAGCCCTCGCTTAGGACACATGCATCCCATATCATAGCACCTGGGATCCAGCCCCTTCTGTTCTGTTTCTGACCTACTTCCTGCTAATGCGTCCTAGGAGTGCCTAAGCCCGTGACACCCACATTGGAGTCTCAGATGGAGTTCTTAGCTCCTGGCTTTTGCTATTACAGCCAACTGGGGGAGTACAATAGTGGATAGAAGCTCTCTCTAAGTATATGAAAATAAATAAACATTAAAAAAGGAGGGGCTGGCACTGTGGCATAGCTGGTGGGTAAAGCCACGGCCTACAGTGCCGGCATCCCATATGGGTGCCAGTTTGAGTCCTGGCTACTCCACTTCTGATCCAGCTTTCTGCTATGGCCTGGGTAAGCAGTAGAAGATGGCCCAAGTGCTGTGGCTCCTGTACCCACGTGGGAGACCTGAAGAAGCTCCTGGCTTTGGCCTGGCCCAGTTGCAGACATTGTGGCCATTTGGGTAGTGAACCAATGGATGGAAGATTTCTCTCTCTCTCTCTGTGTAACTTTGCCTTTCAAATAAAATAAATATTTTTTAAAAAAGAAAAGAAAACAATATTTTAGATAAAGTCTCCATGCCAGTTCTAATTGTTATCCCTTTAAATCTTTGGAACTAAAATATATTCTTACCATTCCACCCGGGCAAGCAATCACAAATCTATTGCCTTATAGCCCTAAGGTAAAACACTGAATTGTCTTGTCTTTTTTTTTTTTTTTTGACAGGCAGAGTGAGACAGTGAGAGAGAGAGAGACAGAGAGAAAGGTCTTCCATTTTCCATTGGTTCACCCTCAAGTGGCCTCTACGGCCAGTGCTGCACTGATCCGAAGCCAGGAGTCAGGTGCTTCTCCTGGTCTCCCATGGGGTGCAGGGCCCAAGTACTCGGGCCATCCTCCACTGCACTTCCAGGCCTCAACAGAGAGTTGGACTGGAAGAGGAGCAACTGGGACAGAATCCGGCGCCCTGACCGGGACTAGAACCTGGTGTGCCGGTGCCGCAGGTGGAGGATTAGCCTAGTGAGCCTGGGTGCCGGCCCAAGGTCAGGTTTTCAACAGTGAAAATGATTTATTCAGGACAGGCGTTTGTGGTTAAGACACTGCCTGGGGGGCCAGTGCCGTGGCTCACTTAGTTAATCCTCCGCCTGCAGCGCCAGCATCCCATGTGGCCACTGGGTTCTAGTCCCGGTTGTTCCTCTTCCAGTCCAGCTCTCTGCTGTGGAGTGCAGTGGAGGATGGCCCAAGTGCTTGGGCCCCTGCACCTGCATGGGAGACCAGGAGGAAGCACCTGGCTCCTGGCTTTGGATCAGCACAGTGCGCCGGCCATAGCGGCCATTTTGGGGGTGAACCAACGGAAGGAAGACCTTTCTCTCTGTCTGTTTCTCACTATCTATAACTCTACTGTCAAATAAAAAATAAATAAAAAGACAATGCCTGGGATGCCAGCATTTTATATCAGAGTGCCTGGGTTCAAATCTCAATTCCGCTTCCAATCCAACTTCCTTCTATTGCCCACCCTGGGAAGCAGCAAGTAATGGCTCAGATAGTTTACATTTCGTAAGTTGCATCCAGGTACATTAGCTGAAAGCTGGATTGGAAGTGGAGCAGCTGGGACTTGATCTGGTGCCCTTACGGGCTGCCGGCATCACAGGTAGCAGCTGCGCCACTGTGCTGGCCCCTAAGACATTCTTTGCCAGATGTTCGTACTTTTGGCTTTCAATCCATGTAAGCGACTGAGTGGTGGTTGCACAGCCATTAATTATTTGGTTTACCTCAAGCTTCAAGTTTACACAAACTTACCAGCATTTGGTGAAGTCCTCTTGGGGGGTATTTTCTGCTTTTTCCAAGAGTCTTAACTTCTTGGTGTCTTCTTTTTCCTCTGAGCTTTACCTTCATGTGAATTTCCCCAACGGTCAGTAGGGCTTTTTTGGAATGAAATTCTGACTTTTCTGATTATTTTCAATTTTATTGTGCCTTGAGCCCAGGCTTCTCTCCCGTCTTTCATTTTTTTTCGTTTTGTGTCTAAAACTAGTGGTTGTAAGTGGAAGTAATGCAATTGTATCAGATTTCTGGTTCTGGATTGGCCCCTATGTCAGATTCCAGATGGAACTCCTTCTCTAAGTGTCAACTCCAGTCTTAGGAATGTGGGCTGTGTTTCCAACGATTCCAGAACGCCCAGCCTAGTCATGAGTCACCTCCATTCCAGAGAGAGTTGTCTGTGCTAACGGGAAGTCAGGTCCTGGTGGTGGTGAGCAGGGTTTAAGTTGGGGGGGAGGTGGATGTAGGTCTAGGGATTCTGACCCAAATCTCCTGTTGAGTCAAAGCCTCAAGATCATTTGGGGCACTGCTAAAACTGAACAGGCTGTCCAAGGACTGGCCTGGACTGGCCCCTCTCAGGAGGGGTGAGTCGTTGCCTTGGGATGCTTACCTATCTATGTTTTCCATCTGTCAGGCCACCTGCATTCAGCTCTGGCAACTGTCCATGGTATACATCATATATCATATCATATACCACACCAATCATATATCATATATCACACCAATCATGTCATATATCACACCAATCATGTCATATCTAATTTTCTTGCATATGATCTTTTTATAATTTCAGGAGTGGATTTTCCCCCCCTTGCTTGGAGGGCCTTGCTTTTTTTTCTTAATGTCTTAATCCCTAGAGAAGTAGTTTACTTGCAAATCACAGACAGATGGGGCTTCTTTCCTCCTGGGAAGGAAGAGGGTGATTTTCCCGGCATGTGTCCTTCTTGTGCATTTCACTGTGGTGCATTCAGCTCTGAGTACAAGCCCTGGTCTCAGAAGAAGCAAGTCTTGTGGGCTAGAGCGTGTTTTGAGGGGTCTCCCTCTGGGTAAACCCAGATATAAGGGACCCTTCCAGTTTTCTCTATCCAGAACATCTAGAGATGGATAACAGTTCAGAAAAACTTTTCCATGGATTCCTGATCTTCCAGATTGGAGCGGTGTGTTCCGGAAGGAAGCAAAGTTGAAGGTCCAGGTGGTTCTGGGTTGTTCCTTTAGGAGCAGAGAAGAGCTTGTGGAAATAGCTCTGCATCTATAGAACAGAGACCTTTGGCGATTCCTTCATATAGTTAGTGATAGGGACCCAGAAGGCTAATGCCATCAGATTGGTTATTGTCTTGGAGGGCAAGCATCTCAATGTCACCAGCACAGGCCGAACTTATGTAGGCTCTGGGCCATGGCCCAGTCTGTCGTCTTTCATTCTGTGTGGGATGCACTGGGGGCCTAAGAAAGCTTGGTGCTAGAGGATGAACTCAACACTTGCAGTCTACTGAGGCTGCACTGATGGCATCGAAGTCATGCAACAATTACTCCACACCCCGAGGACCCTGCTGCATGCAAGAAGGCGCTCGAGTTTCTGTGATCAGATTCAACACAAAAATGAGTCCCTGTGAGCCTCCCCAGGTTGGCAGCCTCCCGATGCTGTGTGTTGGAATACCAACTACGAAGGGAAATGTGATTCCGTTCTGGCCAGACTTCCTGAGCAGCTCCTTGGCTAATCAACGCGTGTGTGTGGAGGAAGAGACTCACACAGACTTTCAGTACTGAAAGAACAGCATGGCTCAATTTTAGATCTGGTGCTGTGCAAGAGAGGGACTGGGCAGAAAGGTCTGGGAACTACCTCTGTGGCGGAGAAGTGGGTGAAAGAGAAAGGAGACACTATCAAACAAACCTGTTAAAATCCCCAGGGCAGAAGAAGGAAGAGGATCAAAGACTCCCGTGGTTGGAATCCCGGTAGCCATGCACAGAGGTTGGATGGAGTT